AGTGCAGCTGACTTTCGACCTGCTGCCTAGATTCCAGAGCCAGAAGGGACCCCTGTGAGCCTAGCACTGGAGGGGCCCTCGAGAGGCAGCGAGTCCGGTCCCCTGCCCTCACGGCAGGACCGAGCATCATCCAGACCAGTGGTCCCCCGCCCCTGCTCACTCCATCCTCCCTCTCTCCCCCACCCTCACTCACGTTCACCAGGCAGGGGCAGCAGGTTGGGGTTCAGGCCCTTGTCTTGGATTAAGGGATCTGGGTGGGAGAGGGGCTCTGAGCTGAGCCTGGGGCAGGCAGTTGAGGTGCTGGGGGGGATTCTAGGCCCAGGTTCTGGGAGGAGGTTTGGATGCAGGGGTGCCCCGGACCAGGGAAGGGGCTTGGGGTGCAGGAGAGGGGTTCATGACTGGGGTAGGTTTCAGGACGTGGGCTCCAGCTGGGCACCACTTACCTCAGGTGGCTCCTGGGCGGTGGCGCAGTGGGACTAAAGCGGGCTCACCCCTGCCCTGGCCCTGCACCGCTCCCCAAAACAGCCAGTGAACTTCCTCCCACGTCCTGCTGGGCCCCCTCTCTGCTCTGTGGAGAAAGGATACAGGGTGGAAGAGGAGGCACCTTGACATCGGCACCCCCCTCTCCCTCCCCTGCCCTGCACAACAAGCAGGAGCGGGAGGAGGCAGCTCCCAGGCAAAGGGCAGGAGATGCGCAGCAGTGGAGGGAGGGGCAGGTGACGTGCTGAACCTGACCAAACCAGGCAGGATCACCTGTCAGAGGCTCCAAGATCTTCCAGTCCATCCCGATCGACTGGTTGGTGACCACTGGTCTAGATCATCCCTGGCAGGTGTCTGTCCAACCCGCTCTTCAATATCTCCAGGGATGGAGACCCCACAACCTCCCCAGGCAACTTCTTCCAGTGTGTATCCACCCGGACAGGCAGGAAGTTTTCCCTAATGTCCAGCCTAACCCTCCCTTGCTGCAGTTTCAGCCCGTTGCTGCTTGTCCTGTCCTCAGAGGCCAAGGGGAACAATTTTCCCCCTTCTCCCTCTGACACCCTTTTAGGTATTTGAAAACCAACATCATGTCCCCCCTCCGTCTTCTCCTTTCCAAACTAAACACGCCCAACTCTTTCAGCCTTCGCTCATCAGTTGTTCTCTAGATCTTGGATCATTTTTGTTGCTCTTCTCTGGACCCTCTCCCATTTCTCCACCTCTTTCTTGAAATGCGGTGCTCAGAACTGGACACAAGACTTCAGATGAGGCCTAATCAGTGTGGTGTAGAGCGGAAGAACGACTTCTCGGGTCTTGCTCACCACACCTCTGTTAACGTTTGCTCTTTTTGGCAACAGTGTCACACTGCTGACTCATATTTAGCTTGGGGTCCACTC